TGGAAGACGTGGAATTCGGAACAATCCAACAATGTGGGATGTGCACGTTACCACGACACGGATGTGTATTATCAATGCTCCGTATGTAACGAGGCTAATTGAGGCTAACGATAACGATGCTGTCGCGTGCGTAAGCACGCATATATCCACATATATCAGCGATCGTACGCTAAAAAAAAGCGGAAAGACAATTTCATCATCAACTTCATCGTGAACTCTGAGGACGAGCGACTCCATCCTAGAACCGGCGCTTTTACCCGGCAATTAATTCGATTATGCTCACCTTCCATCCGGCATTTTCCACCGATTGGCTCCGTTCGCAACGTCGATGTGGCCTGCGATTTCAAAATTTCGTAGACGACAATAGCTGCCTAGATTGTGTCGGGAACTCGTCGCAGAAAGGCAAAAGAGTCGCGGCACGAAATCTTGCGAGTAAGTGTAAACAATTGGATTTTGCATATTATACGATGTGGTTTAACTTTTTCGGAATACAAGTTTATGGTGTAAAAGCATCACTGACACTTGTGTCTTCTTACAGCAAAAATTAACAACGACGTAACGAACCGTCAGTAATTTTTTTTCTTTTGACGACAACGCGACAATGCCTCTCCCAAATATTTTGAGAAAAGCAAGCAACTATATCCTTGGCGAGTGCGGCCAGGACAATCGACGTGTCATTTATCAAGACGGCGAAGCATTATTCTGCAAAAATAACGTCTGCGTGCATCCCCCTACATTAATGAGACAACACGCCGACGTGGTGCATCATCCTGGATACATGACTATAACTTGCAAATTGAACAAGAATTCGAATTTGCCGACCCTGCACCTAAGTTGGATACCCAACAGCACATTGCGCAAGCATCCTACCGCGTTGGAAAATCTGAGTGCTAGAAATGCTACCGCGCGTCGAGACGACGATCCAATCTGCCCGCGTTCCCGAATCCCCCCCGAGAAGACACGCGATACGCTCAACATTTCGGGCGTGAGGCAGGAGCTCGAGAACGAGAACGAGAACGAGAATGAAAATGAAAATGAAAATGAAAATGATACCGAGAATGATAACGGAAATGGGAAAGTAGACGTGTGCTTGGAGGCAAAGGAGCCTGTCAACTGCGGAGACTGCGAACGTGTTTGTTCCGGTTCCGGCTATCATCGTTACGGCCATGACTTTCTACGTCGTCGAGATCCAAGCACGACAATCAATCGCGATGACGAAAATGTCAAAACTATTGAGACCGAGAATCCGAATTCGGCGGATTCGGTGGATTCGAGCAACGAAAAGAATGAGGATTTAAAAGAACGGGACTTGAATGAAATCGATGCAAGGAGCATCGATGAGGAACCTGCACGCTTCTCGTTCCGTGACGATGTAAGTGTTAAGAGTCGCAGCTTATCATTAACATCAACGTGCAGTTTGTCAATCTCGATACCTATCGATGGTACGTAGAAAAGATGCTTGGATGTAATCTGACGCGCGCATTACTCTCTCTGTTTCTCTCTCTCGTATAATTAACGATACTAGCGATGACGTTGTTTCTGCAGCGGAGGAAATGCCTTCGTGGATGAGGTCTCCAGAACTTCTAGCGCTACAACACAATCTTGTTTTTCCCGAGAGCGCGACCGCATCGCCTGTGACATTGCGTAGAGCACATCGATGCAGAAGATTCTCGGTGGATCTCGGTGAGATGCGATCCTTGAGGCTATTTTTCGCCGATCCTGCTTGCACCTGTGGTCAATTGGTCGTGGCGAGTAGGGAAAGCCAATATAAGATCTTGCATTTCCATCATGGCGGTTTGGACCGGCTAGCCGCCACTCTACATCAATGGCATCAATTGCTTTATCCACGCTTAAATATGGATACGGAAGAGACTCTGCCGTACAGGTATACTTCTCAGGCATAATTAAATTAGAATATAAAATTGCAAATTTCTCTGTCGAATATATAATAATATGTCATTATAATTATCACACTTGACATACTATATTAATACGACTGTCATGCATTGCACAGGCATTTCATCGTATGCCGTCTTCTGCTTGAACA